CCACCAAAAAACATGAAGCACCAAAACAGAACCCATCCCAATTGTGCGATAAGAAGGGGGTTGTTTTCTTAATTTGGATCTTGTTTTCTATCCAAACCCCCACACCTCCCGAATTTTCGAGTCCACCAATTTTGTACAACAACTCACAGCCTCGGGCAAATTTGCTCCTGGTCTTGAGCCAGCTGAAGGCAAAAACCACGGCGAGGACAAGGATGTAGACCACGAACCCGGCTCCAACAACCACGTAGTAACCATTGACTCCACTGATCTCGAAAGGTCGGTACAGGTCCTCTGGGAACGTCGGCGGCAAAGGACACGACAATGGGCAATCGATGCAACTGCAAGCGTATTCTTCGCCCTGTGAGGAAATCGAAAAATACAGTACTGTATTGCAAAAAACACAAGCACAAATAAAAATTGCTCTACTGTTTCGGAACTTCCGCCAAATCCCTTCCAAAAATGTCTCAGATAAAATGTGAAAAACCAAAGAAAAATGTCACATTATGTTCACAAGGTCAACATACTGAAAATAATAAAATGTGTCAACTTGAACCCACTAGAATTTTTTCAAAGCTTCTTTCGACCAGCGTGGATGAACCCAAAACAAACAGAAATACATTAGCCCGATTTTCAAATCAACTTTTCCATTTTTCTGTTGAACCAGCCGCGACGGAAAAATGTATTGCATTATTAGTGATACAGTTTCGAAGGGCCCATTTTGGGATTCGAGAGAAAAGAAATTAAAATCGCTCAGATAATTTGATTGATTGACAGATATCTTAAAAATTACGACTCCGGCTGGGATGACCATGGTAAGATTGACCTATATCGACTTCCCAACGATGAGCTATAATTTCTTATTTTTTGAGGGTCCGGAGTTGGCGGATCTAGTTCGACAGAAAGTCCAAAATCGCTTACTGAACAGTATCCCGATAAAAAGAAAAATGGAGCAGAAGAATTCCAACACTTGAAAAAAAAGCATTCATATTTTAAAAATGGCACCTGTCATCAGAAACTACCGATTAAAAAATTCGAGGAATTCCTTCTAGAGTATTAATCAGAAAATCTCATTTCGTCAGAAATGAGATACAATTGATAACGTCACAAAAAATAAAAACCTCGCCAAAAATACTCGCGCAATCAAGACATGATCAAACTTCATGGGAGCAGCAAAAATTCGAGTTAGAGAAACAAGCTTTTCTGTTGGGGGGAAAATAAAGAATAATTACAGGAAATTGTACTTGGTCATAAACTGGGCCTTAAATTGCTTCTTAAATGAGTTGACAGGTTACTGAACTCGAAGGCAAGGGTTCATTTGCCCAATTAATCTTTCACTTCCTCTCAAAATGCATCAAGTTGCATTTATATTGCTTTTCTCTTTCCTGTGTCAATGAAATGGTCAAAAAGGATCCAGAAATTCCAACTTCCATAGGTTTGAGGGGGGGAAAAGCCTTTGAGTTGGGAAGGTTTTTAGTGCATAGCTTCCACTTTTATTCAGACAGGGACTTTAAAAAATCAATTCAGTGAGGTTCGAGTTATCGAGGTTCAACTGTAAACGAAGTCGTCACAAATCTCACCTTCGCGGGTTGGCTGCAATTCGCCGCTTCATAATCAAAGTGCGTCAAATTCGTCTTCGGGTCGACAGGAGAGTCGAGGAATAAAAAGTTCATGGAAAACGGCGTCTGCATGTTCGCCATGTCTCCCATAAAGTGGAATAATTCCTCATACGAACACGATGTTCCGTAAGGACCACACATGAGCTGCGGAAATGCGAAACCCCCACACACACTTGTTCAAGTCACTTCAACAACATAAGCCCCGCCGACTCGAAAAAAACTAAATAATGTAACAATGAAAGAAAACGCACCTGCAAGATGCTTTCCTGGGTCTGTGGGTTCTTCACTCCGCGACACGAATCCCATGTTGTGTAAGCGTAGTTTCTCGACAATGCGTAGTCGATCGACTTGATCGCATTTGTTTCTATACAATACACACACACACAAAAAAGAACCACAATTTAAGATTTGGTCACACTCACATTCACCAACACTGAAACACTATCTTGTTTAATTCATCTGATTCTCATACAGGGAAGAAGAAGACTGGATTCTGATTTTAAAAAAACCTTTGCTGTACCACTTCAATCGGAAGATCGTCACTCCTCACTTGAGACACGGAAATCAGCGCAATTTTGTTCTCTCAAACTCACCCACTAAATAATAATACCGTAATTCCAAAATACTAACCATTGTCATAATCTGTGACTAGAACGAAGTCCGATTGCTTCGGAGAACACGTCAACTGGCAAGTGTACTCCCGGAAGTTCCGGTAGCAGGTCGGGCAACGGGACATGAGTGTTCCGGGGATCTCCAGATTGCTCATCAGATTCGACACTTGTTCAGAGTCGCAACAGAACATCTTATCTCCGGCTTGGTTCTCCGCTACAGAGAAGGCGAAGATGCACAGAGGTTTCAAAAATTTACACGATTGCGGTTGCTTGAAAATCCGATTTAAGCTCCTCTCATTCAAAGCAATTATTATTCCCATAATGATTTTTTCACATTATACAAATCGCACTAGCGCGAATACAAGAAGCACTTCCTTCATATTTTGACAAGAAAAAAGAAAAGGTGTGCGGGAATTGAGGGGTTATTTCAAAACGAAGACGTCTACGGTAATGTATATTCCGAAAAGTATAAGTAAACTTTAGCAAAGATTGAGAACATTTTAACTCACGAGCTGCCTTCCATAAATCCCCGCAGAACTTTTTCAAATTCTGCTCAGCTGTAGTATCGTTGAGAGGAACGGGTTCCATATCGGTTTTGCAGGGAACCCCGACTTCCCCAAGGATGCCAATATAAGTTCCGCATTGGCCGTGGAACGAGCATCGGCTTTCAGCCTGAACGCAAATTTCATTCACCAATCAAGATTGAAATCACAAGGGTCACAAACACACTCACCTTCGAAGCGAACGCGGCGATGATCACTAGACAAACAGCCCACACGGCCATTTTCTGCTCTTCACTCGCTAAAAACACAACCACAGGATAATACGAAAGGAAAGAACAGATATCGTCAACCAAAACAATTCCTGCGAACATTCGCATCACATCGAAAGGAAGAACCTATTTGTAAAACATTACACCCACGTCGTTCGATCCAAGCAAGATATTGAACTCCCCAAGTCAACCGAGAAAGAGGTTCACTGATGCTGACCAACAACACGAAACAAACTGCATCTTCCGAAAAATGCACTCAAGACAAGTACAAGATGAACTAAAAAATTCTTGATGGAGACGTCAATTGTGTTAACCTCACATTTGCAGCACTCTAATGACAAGCGGAAATGAGGACTGAGTCGTTCGCACATTCACATGCTCCCAACTTAGAAAAGGAACCTTTCTTTCAATGTTCATCAAAGTACTGTAACTCAGCGAACACTTGACCCCTTCTCTGAGACTAAGACCGATTTCTTGAGCTTTCGTGACAAAACGCAGATTCCACAGGACATGCTTCCAGACATCCTGACTGAATAAATCGAATGACCACCTTACAAATCGAGGCAAGACGTAACAATCGAAAATAACACAGAAACCATCAACAATTTTCTTCAAACCGAGGATGCGACTGAATGCTCCAGCCATGAAACATACACAGATCTAAATTACGGTTCCAGCTCAGAACAAATATAATTCACTGATTTATCATTCATTCATGCAGAAATTACACACGACGATTCATAATATCACGCCCTGGACACATGTAACAACGCCGTGCAAATTCTTGGAAAACGATGCTAGGCTTGACGTGAGACATGATCCACATTTGAATCGAACGAAGAATTCGAGACTAAATGACGCTACGCTTGACGATACACAACTCCATCAAACGATGAAATTCAAAATGAATCACTGCTTCAGCTTTGAATTCGCGTAACACACGACCGCAAAAGAACCTCGCGTCAAAATCGAGGAACTACGCCGTTCGAAAAAATGCTATTAAATCAGGTGAAGGAGCAACGGAAAATCTAGATCACCGTCGGCACTACAGCCGCCGCCATGTTCCCCTCCTCCCCACTCCCGGGTTACAAAGAACACACAAGTCTAAGAAACCCCTCTTTCCTACGACAGACATCTTCAATTCAAATTGTCCGTGTGCGTCACCAAAGCTGGCACTCAGGAAAGAAAAAAAACTAGAGAAAAACTGCAGCATACCAGGGAAGTATTCTTTGCTAGTGAAGTGAATCACATGGAAGATTCCAATGAACTAGCTCTGACTGTGTTCGAATCACACCATGTCCCTCGGGGGAGTTTCTGGAAAACGCGGCACATGCGTCAACGTCCCTCCCTCACTCAGACCATCTTCAGTAGTGCACGCGAGGGTCCGTTCAAAAGTTCTGGAGAAAAAAAACCTTGAAGCATGGATTTTTCATAATGTGTCTTTCTTTTTACACTAGTGCATACATCCATCAAGTTCATTTGATCATTTACTAATGCATTAACTACAGAGAAAAATTCAGTTTTAAGCTCCTGATTCAGATTACAGTACTTTAAAACCACAGAAAAGCAATACCAAGCCATCTCTTCATTTGCGATGGCCTCTCCTCTCAAAACCATGAATTGATGATCAAATAATAATTCAAGACAACCTTTACATGCGATCAACATCAATAATTTAAGAATTCTCCTTATCTCCCTAATTCAAATTTCTTTGTGGGTCCCTCTGATTTTTTTTTTTACTCAGAAATGCCTGTCTGTGATTTCCATTTCACAGTCAAGTATATAAACAGTATCAAATTTCCATGAGTGATGAAGAATAGAGGCAAAACTTTTAAACCAGCCCTCAAAAGCAAAGAATTCTCCATGAAACCCCAGACTTGACTCTCTAGAAATTTAATGAAAAGTAAGGGACTGTTCGAAGGGGGGAGGGGGATGCGGGCAGAAAGAAAAACGCTCGAAGAATGCGTGCGAAGTAGGTTGGCGTGCTCCACTCAAGCGGAGCACAACAGAACACCACCGGACGATCGAATTTCACACACAAATGGAAATTCCTCGAACCTCGAGCAAAAAAGAGTTGAGTCCAATGCTCCACATAAGGGCCGACGACCAGCATTCGAAAGAAACCGTATAGATCGACTCTTTCCCCGCCTAAGGTCTTCGAGACACGCTTCAAATCCGCGCGATAAGGTTTTATATAGCTTTAATCTTTCATAGGATTGAAAGATGCTGTATATAAGCAGTATCAGCGGAAGTTAAGCAATGTTGACAACAGCAGTGATATCGCGAGAGTGGTTGGGGCTCCCAACTCGGAATAATATCATATTGCATATTATTCAAAATAGTACTGTAAATTGTATTTTGAACTATGGTAAGTGATGAGTGATTATCGACACCGGTCGTTCGAACTCCGCGAATCAGTCAAAAGTCAGTTGCACGGAATTTAATACGCAGAAGTTAAAACGGTTCCCGCGAAAGTATACCTTCAGATTTCAGGCATCACTGCGTTCACCCTTACAAGGCGTTCTCCTGAATTCCACTTGAATTGGATAGCACAAAGAGAAACAAGAAACGTTCTGATGATTCGAAGGATCCGAATCGAATCACGATAACTCCCGTGTGTCTATAAATTCAACTGTTGATGTACTTGATGACGACGAGAAACACTGCTATCACGGATCACTGAAAGGGAAAGATTCATGGCGTGAACCCACGAAGAGGAAGCACAATGATCGAAAAGGAAGAAACAGTCCGGTTGGAATTCTTGAAGCAGACACGCGACCGCGGCTGCATCTTTATTGTGGGTCGCACCCGTTCCGGAGTCTATTTTAGATTTTCAAGGCCGGGCGTAATCGACTCCCTGACCTAAACCCGAGACGCAACAACGGCAAGGCTTCCATCATAGACTGAGAGACATGCTCATGCAACCCCCTTCTACGATCTATCACACTTTTCACACTCGATGAACGAAAACTGGGCATGCGAATACGTTGTAATTGCACCATTATGACGTAAATTGAACAAGAGATTCGAGATTAAAGATTAGTTTAGTTTTCGGCGGGATTTTCTAATCTATGCTCCGGTTTCACATGCGACTTCAGCGCGCACCTTTACATCCGAGGGTTCTCCTGATGGTGGACTCATATGATTGTACTACCTGATCTCACACTATCTGTATAGAAATCCAGCCTATTCGAGATGTTTCTTTCCATATTACGCGTATATTCAATCAAATATATAAAACGTACATTAATTTGTCAGTTGGCCTGCCCAACATGTCTTCAATAGTTGTTTCAAGATCTATCAGTGAGATACACTGTTTCTTGATTCACCTGCAGCAGCAGCAGTTATTGCACACAGAGGAGAGGACCAATTTTGATTGACATCATTATTAAAGACACAGTATTACAATAGTGCTGAGCATAAACTGAAAAATGCATGGGGAAAACTTATTGAAAAACTGGAGAGTAAAAAGTCGGCATCATGTAGGATGTGTTCTTGTATTTGCACCTGTCAATGCAACTTTTCTGTATCAAATCATGATGGTTTATTAAGTTCAAAGCTATCTTCAATGTCAGAGTGTACTATTCTTCTACCTTAAAGTTAGTCAAACAAAGTTTACGGTAGTTTAAACCCCTCATATCATGTCGTCGTGGTACCAATAACAATTTTCAGGTTTAACAAATAAACTAAACAAATCAAAGGGGAAATAAGTATCCTTTATTTATTGCTATACTGATGGGGCCCATGCAGGAGCTCTGATTTGAGTGTGGATAATCATTGGTCTTGACCCAGTGTACGAACTGACCTCAGGCCATCCTGAGGAGAGGGAGGGAGTGTGTGTTCCAGGCGCTTCTGATGGTTTTTTAATTCTTGCCCAATGCTGTGCTGTGGTCTGAATTCTTTTTTTTAAAACTCACATGCTGAAGGATATGACGCAATAAAGCGGCATCCTTGTTGCTCAAGCATCCAGAGTCAACATTATTTTACTACACAACTCACATGAGTAATTTTCTCTCTCAGAAACACTATTCTTGTTTGAACCTTAGTTTTTATAATTATTTTCCTACAGCTGATGAGCAGATATGCTCATGAATGCAATGAATGACTTGCTGCCATCTCAAGAAAGAGGGAGTTATTCTTGATGATTCAGACCCTGGCAGTTACAATTGAGAAAATCTTTTTGCGCTTTTGCTTGTGCCCTTGAAAATGAATTTGCATCATGTCATATATTTCCTTTTATACCATGACTTGCTGGGGAAGTTTTTCTCAGAAAAAAATAGAGAGGAAAAGCGTCTTTTGTGCAACCAGGGAATAAGAAAAGTCTTAACAAGTCTACGTTTAGTACAATGAGTACGACTTCTTAAAGATACTTTATTACAGAAGATATTAAGTCCTAAACTATAACACGACTGTTAGAGGACGATCCTTTACTTTAATCGGCTTCATAAGAATTCAACAAATTGCTCATCAATCTCACTCATAAAAAGGTTTTTTCACAAGGAATGTCAGTTAACACTTGGGTTGAGAAGGCCTTAGAATGGGCAAATTGTTTGTTCACCAAAAGCCCCAATCATGGACTCTCTGGAACAAACCCAGCGTTTGTAACTGATGATGCAGGCACCAGTACAACTTCTGTCCAAATCTCAGCCCTGCTGGACTTTGAAAGATTCTCCAAAACTTTTCTCTTCCCAAGGCTGGCTTTGGGGCCTGGAAAATATAAGCTTCATTAATGGCTTTTGAAATTTCTGGAATGGATTTCCTTATAGTTTACCCTCCTTACTGTCTTCTTGTCCGTCCTTCTAGTCTGGTACTCGTCGAGGTTAGTTTTGTTACGGGTTCATGTAGGACTTCATCTTTTGAACCTTCTAGACACTTACTCGTTTGGGGTCCCGGTGTTATGCTCCAAGTTTTGTCAGAGTTATTCCTGACAGTACCTTGAATAAAAAAAATAACAGATTATAGTATGAAATCCATAAATAAACATATTCACTCATACAACTTACTGAGCTTCCCATTTCTACAAGTGCATATGTTGCACGCTCCAGCCTGGTCACTTTGGAAGAAACTGCAAAAGCCCTGATGATGTGATTGCAGAATTCCACAGCTATTCCAACAGCCTGGAGTACAATGAAATCACATCAGAACAAATAGCACAAAAAATTAACCAAACTCTGCATGCTCATTTTATTTAGTTCTTAAGATTTTGAGTAAGTGGAGCAGTAACATACCACATTGTTCCATTTGTTTTTCCTGCAAATTCCAATTAGACTTTAAATCATATTTGAATTTATTCTGTAAACAAACTAATTTGAGACCAAGAGAGGATAATTTGCAAACATAGACTGCTGCTAAGGAATGTGCATGGTTCAAACATTTGAGGAATGTATGTGATGCTCATATAAAGAAAGTACAATGTACTTTGAGTTCAAAGCACAATGTCTCAAGTTATTCTAAACCCATTGGAAAAGGCAATGTGAGTTATGATAGGCAACCCAAATTTAATCATTGGAAATCACAAATACATTCTTGCAGTTCAAGAATATAGCCCTGATTTTGATAGAAAAGCATTTTTCACTATGCATGAATCATTGACTAAGTATTGTATAAAGATGCCTTCAATTTTGCTTTAAGAGCATGTTTTGTGACAAAATACAATGGCATGCATATTTTCTTCAGTTCATAATTGTCCAATCTTACTGAACAACTTCTGGAAGTCCTCATTCAAGTCAAGTTTTTAAACTATATATCTTACCATCACCAAGTTGACCAAGGATACAGCATTCAAATCAATTCTTGTATATAAGCAGTATCAGCGGAAGTTAAGCAATGTTGACAACAGCAGTGATATCGCGAGAGTGGTTGGGGCTCCCAACTCGGAATAATATCATATTGCATATTATTCAAAATAGTACTGTAAATTGCATTTTGAACCATGGTAAGTGATGAGTGATTATCGACGCCGGTCGTTCGAACTCCGCGAATCAGTCTAAAGTCAGTTGCACGGAATTTAATACGCACAAGTTAAAACGATTCCCGCGAAAGTATACCTTCAGATTTCAGGCATCACTGCGTTCACCCTTACAAGGCGTTCTCCTGAATTCCACTTAAATTGGATAGCACAAATAGAAACAAGAAACGTTCTTATGATTCGAAGGATCCGAATCGAATCACGATAACTTCCGTGTGTGCTGTGTCTATAAATTCAACTGTTGATGACGACGAGAAACACTGCAATCACGGATCACTGAAAGGGGAAAATCCATGGCGTGAACCCATGAAGAGGAAGCACAATGATCGAAAAGGAAGAAAAAGTCCGGTTGGAATTCTTGAAGCAGACACGCGACCGCGGCTGCATCTTTATTGTGGGTCGCACCCGTTCCGGAGTCTATTTTAGATTTTCAAGGCCGGACGTAATCGACTCCCTGACCTAAACCCGAGACGCAACAACGGCAAGGCTTCCATCATAGAGTGAGAGACATGCTCATGCAACCCCCTTCTACGATCTATCACACTTTTCACACTCGAAAAACGAAAACTGTATGCGAATACGTTGTCATTGCACCATTATGACGTAAATTGAACACAAGAGATTTGAGATTAAAGATTAGTTTAGTTTTCCGCGGGATTTTCTAATCTATGCTCCGGTTTCACATGCGACTTCAGCGCGCACCTTTACATCCGAGGGTTCTCCTGATGGTGGACTCATATTATTCTACAGCCTGATCTCACACTACAGATATCCAGCCTATTCGAGATGTTTCTTTCCATATTACGCGTATATTCAATCAAATATTGTAAAACGCACATTAATTTTTCAGTTGGCCTGCCTAACATGTCTTCAATATGCTTCAAGATCTATCAGTGCGATACACTGTTTCTTGATTCACCTGCAGCAGCAGTAGCTATTGCACACAGAGGAGAGGACCAATTTTGATTCACATCATAATTAATGACACAGTATTACAATAGTGCTGAGCATGAACTGAAAAATGCAAGGGGAAAACTTATTGAAAAACTGGAGAGTAAAAAGTCTGCATCATTTAGGTTGTGTTCTTGTATTTGCACCTGTCAATGCAACTTTTCTGCAACAGATCATGATGGTTTATTAAGTTCAAACCTCTCTTCAATGTCAGAAACATGATAAGAAGATGGAATTTCAATCAGTTTGTTTCAAATGCCATCAAATTTGGGGAGTATAGTACAGCAGCACCATGGTTATTGTTAAAAGTCCAAATTGTTTATTTGATTTGTTTAGTTTCCCCAAATAAGTATCCTTTATTTATTGCTATACTGATGGGGCCCATGCAGGAGCTCTGATTTGAGTGTGGATAATCATTGGTCTTGACCCAGTGTACGAACTGACCTCAGGCCATCCTGAGGAGAGGGAGGGAGTGTGTGTTCCAGGCGCTTCTGATGGTTTTTTAATTCTTGCCCAATGCTGTGCTGTGGTCTGAATTCTTTTTTTTAAAACTCACATGCTGAAGGATATGACGCAATAAAGCGGCATCCTTGTTGCTCAAGCATCCAGAGTCAACATTATTTTACTACACAACTCACATGAGTAATTTTCTCTCTCAGAAACACTATTCTTGTTTGAACCTTAGTTTTTATAATTATTTTCCTACAGCTGATGAGCAGATATGCTCATGAATGCAATGAATGACTTGCTGCCATCTCAAGAAAGAGGGAGTTATTCTTGATGATTCAGACCCTGGCAGTTACAATTGAGAAAATCTTTTTGCGCTTTTGCTTGTGCCCTTGAAAATGAATTTGCATCATGTCATATATTTCCTTTTATACCATGACTTGCTGGGGAAGTTTTTCTCAGAAAAAAATAGAGAGGAAAAGCGTCTTTTGTGCAACCAGGGAAATTCTTTTCAGAATTGTTCAGATGCAAATCATGTTACTCATGCTGAANGATTATAGTATGAAATCCATAAATAAACATATTCACTCATACAACTTACTGAGCTTCCCATTTCTACAAGTGCATATGTTGCACGCTCCAGCCTGGTCACTTTGGAAGAAACTGCAAAAGCCCTGATGATGTGATTGCAGAATTCCACAGCTATTCCAACAGCCTGGAGTACAATGAAATCACATCAGAACAAATAGCACAAAAAAGTAACCAAACTCTGCATGCTCATTTTATTTTGCTCTTAACATTTTGAATAAGTGGAGCAAAAACATACCACATTGATTCATTTGTTTTTCCTTCAAAATTCCAATTGATTTTAAATCACATTGGCATTTCTCTTGTGGACATACTAATTTGAGACCAAGGGATGATCACATTTTGCAAACATAGGGCTGCTGCTAAGGAATGTGCATGGTTTAAGCATTTGAGGAATGTATCTGATGCTCATATAAAGAAAGTTATTCAGTTTAAAGTACAATGCTTCAAGTTATTCTAAACCTATTGGACAAAGCAATGTGAGTTATAATAGGCAACCCAAATTTAATAATTAAAAATCACAAATACATTCTAGCAGTTCAAGAATATAGCCCTGATTTTGATAGAAAAGCATTTTAAACTATGCATGAATCATTGACTAAGTATTGTATAAAGATGCCTTCAATTTTGCTTTAAGAGCATGTTTTGTGACAAAATACAATGGCATGCATCAAAAGAAGTCAAGTATTAACAGGTTAGAATGACTTGTTGAAGACCTTCAGGAGTAAGTTCAGTTCAAAAATTTGATATATAGAATGGTAGTGGTTCAACTGGTTCCTATGTCGTAAGTTTAGTTAAGCCCAGGTGTACATCAGACACATCATATCCACCATGATCATCACAATAGTCACCAGCACAATCAATGCTGAGTGCAAATCAAAGCCCAGGAAGACAAAGCTGGCAAGAAAAACTGCCACCACAGAGACTGCCAGTGACTGGACAACATCCCTCCACATGGTCAGGTATTGTTCATAATACAAGTAGAAGATACTGAAATGAAAGACTATTGTAGTAAACCATTCAAAATATTTCAACTGATCCATGTCATCAAGCTCACCTGTAGGGAAACACTTCATACTTTCTGCCATCTTCAGAGGGAAAGTCTTCATTTAGCATGGATGTGATATTGTCTGCAATGAATCTTGCAAGTCTCAGAGCTTCATAGTATTCCTCTGAGTTTTTCATCATGGAATGGTAGGTCATGAAGTAGCTTGCTCCAATGGTCAAGTTCCCATTTTCTTCAGTGACCAACTAATGAAATGAATCTGGTCCTAAATTGAATCTCAATTTCTACCAAACATATGCACAATACTTTGACTGCATTCCCATAAGCAGCATGACCTCCTTTGATGCATTGTCCTGCAGGGTTTGCCTTTAGAAAGTCTGGTAGAAATTTCAGGAACTGCTCTGCATTGGGCCTGTACTTTTCAACACAAACTCCAACACATTTTGATGATCCTGTTGAAGAAGATGTGATATTGCATATAATTTTGAAGCAGCATTGATATTCAGGGGTACCCCAAACTTCAAACTTTGTTCCAAAACATATGTTTGATCCTTAAATCCATTAATTCTTTGGTATTTACATTAACAGTATATGAAACAAATTAAAATCAACTTATGGAAATAACAGCTTTGAATTATCACATTTGCTTCATATAGTCAAAGATTCTTTTGTTTCCTGTTTATTTCACATTCTTCTTCAACTGCCAGTTTTTTTTTCAATACTTTGTCTTTCAAGCTACAGGAATATCCAGGTTGCTTGTGCATCATTGTACTATATAAGCAAACCTGGTTTGCAGAAATTCCCATCTTCATCTATTTTGCAGCAAGTCTCAGTTCTCAACCAATCAAAATAGTCATCCATCCAAGACATGGCAGTGGTTGCAATGTGAGTCTCAGTTGGCTGCTGCTGAGCAAAGAAAATCTGTGATGCCAAGGAGTCAACATTGCATCCAACATAAGCACAAAGCCTGTTCTGTGCTTTTTCATTCAGCATTGGGAAACCATCCTTGACCACAAAGTAAGTTGGTGGGCCAACATAGAAGTTCTCATACATTGACTGCAGACAAGAACAGACAATTCACACATTCTAAATCAATAAATATTGTAAATTTGTAAGTATCCTTCAGCAACTTACATTGAAGTAGTCAATGACATATGAGTCCTCTGGCATGGACAGCTTTTCATCCAGACCAGCTTTCACATTGGGAGCCAATGCAAGGCTAATAGTGAACCAAGTTGAAAATAAGACCAGGACAACAGCCCTGATGGGAAACATCATGAGGAATGGGGCATAGGCAGTCTTGAATAGTTGGTAGAGAAGCCCTTTGGTGTTCTTTTTTTCTTTGCTCAACTTGTTGCAGTTCTTTGTACAGCAAAGGAAGTCAATCCTGTTGGCCTCCTGCCTCTTGATGTCAATTGTCATCAGGGCCACAAAAGCAGTAATCTGCAAAGTCATTTCTTTTCACAGCAAATTCCTTTTTTTATTGTGGGAGGGGGAAGAAAATTGACATACCTGAAGGCAGAAGTCAAAAAGAAGGGCAAACCCAGCATACAAAGCAAATGCTTTCACTGCTGGCATGTCTGACAAACCACCCAGAAAGAAGCAAATTGATTCTGCTGCTGCAGAAAGCAGCATTGAAGGACCAACATGTCCCAAGACTCTTGCAACATGGTCTTCCACACTCTCCCCCTTTCCTCTTTCAGACCTTTGGTAGGCCTGCACCAAGATGAAAATGTTGTCCACTCCCACAGCCAACACTAGGAAGGGGATAACTTCTATGATGATGAGTGTTGCAGGAACCTTGACCACAGCAAAGAAGCCCACAGATGCTGCCACTGAGGCAAGCACCATCAGCACTCCACCAAGTCCCACCATCATCTGACTGTCCACAAACATGGTTGACCAACCCCTTGGCTGTAATTAATATTTCCAGAATTCAAGCATCAATAAAATGTGGTAGTATACATGCAGTATAGGACTCACCTGTCCCAGTGTGACAGTAATGTACAAGAACATTATGCAATAGGAAATTATGACAGTAGGAATGTCACCCTCAGTCTGTCTCCCAAGTTCATCCTCAATGGACCTCTCTGCTCTGAAGGCCACTTCAACCTCTGGGGCAAGTCCAAGATCACTCAGGTTCTTCCTCATGTCCCTCCATTCTTCAACATATTTCAGCCAAACCTCCTCATAAGCCATAGCAGGTTTCACCAGGTTTTTATCATAATGGTTGTTCACCACAAATGTTACAATCAGGGTGTCTGCCTCTGAAACCTAAAAATAATTTTAGTCAATTGGCAGAAATTTCTTAAACTACAATAATGCCTATAGACCAAGAACCCATAGAATAAATGCACAAACACAGAATAAATTACATCGCGCAAACGTTAAATTTGAAATCCCAAATTTAACCATCCTTATACATTTAACATGCAGTTTGAGTGCATTTATTTAAGTAAGAATGTAGCATTCAAAGATGTGCATCACCAAAATATATGTCACTTGATTCAAACAAGTATAAAGAATGTCTCAGAAGAATCAAGTTTTCACTTGAAGACGTATTACTAATCACATTCTGCCACAAAGCAAGCACTTACATTGGCTTGACTTAATGGAAGAGATTTCTCTTTCCAGAAACCTCCAAATGCCAGCTTTGGGTCCACTGGTCCTCCAAACTGTCCCAGACAAGAGGTTTGGATGAAGTTGTCTTTGATGCATGAGGTAAGTCTCTTGAAAAATGACTCTTCATCCTTAATCACTTCTCTGTTGTTCTTGAAGTACTCAAAGGCTGACTGGACTGTGCAAAACTTTTTGTCAGGGAACAATGGCTGGAAACAAACATCCTTGAGGCCAACATTGAGGGTATTTTCTCCATCTGTGATCTCAGCAGTCAACTGGAAAAAATTAATGAGGCCTGAAATATGTTAATGCTGATAATTACAGGGCAATTTCAAATGGTGATGTTAGTTTTTTTGCAGTACATGGCTTGATTCCTTTTCTTTGATCTTGAAATGCATATACTTGGTTTTAATTGTTCTCAACATGAATATTTTAAGTGCATTTACATTTACCTGATTTGTCAAGTATTCAGTCAAGTCAAAGACATCCAGGAAGAAGGACTGATTGAATGCTGGGCCCCATTCCATTGGCTCACCAGTAGTGTTTTCAACAATCTTCTCATATCCCTTTGCTTTGACTATGATTTGTTCTGGTCTGAAGAAGGGGACAAAATTTGAGTCATAATAGTCCTTCTCTTTCCTTCCTCTTGAGTTCTCTGAAGACCACAGCTCCACAGGGTCAGTTGTCACTTCCAAAAACTGAATGCAACAACTCAGTACTGTGACCAACAGAGTTGAGTAAATCAAGACCATGTAAGGTTTCCCAGAAACAGCTGTAAATACCAATACAATCCAAAAGTCAACTTCAAGTCAAGTTCAAGTCTTCTATAGGCATAGTTTCTATACCTTTCCCAAGCATGGTGAACCATACAGCAAGCTTGTGTTCAAAGTGTGCTCCAATATAGTCAAAGATGCTTGGCTTGACAATATCTGCTGGTGAGCTAGGAGGAATGTTTTTTCTCCTTTGAAACCCTACAACCAGTATGGTGATGATTATGATGAGGAATCCTCCCCACATGGCTCCAGCAACAATGAACATTCCATTAATTCCATTCACTTCCCATGTTATGTACAAGTTGTCTGGGTAGGAAGATGATGCTGGACATGTATCAGGACAGTCAGTGCAACCACAAGAGTATTCTTCACCCTGAAAATATTAAAAAAATCTGTAATACATCAGAAAGGATTTTCCCCAGACTGATCAATGAAGAGAATTGAAAAACTATTAAAGAATTGTTTTCATAGAACAAAAAACACTGCATGGAACTGATGTGAAAGAAAAGTTGCATTCCTATATTGACATTTGAATGACTGGATCACTTCCTTGTCATATAAGGGTTATTTTTTCAGAAAAATCAGACAAATCTTGAACATATTTCCAACCAATAGAAATACAATTGCCTTCTTGGTTGCTTGTAAATCCCATGAATGTTCAAGGAAATGGGTCAACACTTGCTGTACAAACCCTTCAATCATCATTCAAAGATTTGTGTCAGCTAAAACTGATCTGCAGACTTCTTGAATTAAACCTGGGTATAAAATTGACAGTTCCTAATTTTAAAATGTATTTCATATAAATAATATTGATAAAATACCTCAGCCACTTGGTTGCAGGGTGTGGCCTGGAATTCAAATGACTTTGTCTCACTGTCAACAGTTTCTATCATCCTGAAATTGATTTCAAAGGGTGTGTTTTTATTTTCCATGCTTCCCAGGTAACTGAAGAGCTCTTCATAGGTGCAGTCTACTCCATAAGTGCCACACAGAAGCTGAAAATATTTGAAAGATCAGATTTCAGTACATGCTGGACATGCAGTGCTTCTTGGAACAAACTTGAGTTATAGGGGCTTGAGTTTGAGGATCCATCACATTTCTACAAGAGTCCCAAACACCATATGTGAAATTTTTGTAGATTCCAAATTCAGCTGTGATCACTCCACATGTTTCTGAAAGCATTCCAGATATTCATAAAGATCAGTTCCAGAAAAAATCTTCAGGGCATCATGTGTGTGTATATATCCTTACCTTCATCAAATTCTGTCACAGTCATAAAATCAGATTGCCAAGGATGACAAGCCATTTGCACTGCCCACTGCTTGAAGTTCTTGTAGCAAGTGGGACACCTTGCCATGACTGATTTTGTTATTGATAAACTGCTCACAGCATTCAGAAATTGTTGAGGTGAACAGCAAAACATTTTCTCTCCATTCTCATCCTCAGCTGGCAAAAAAGATTATCCAAATTGCAAGCTACAGTATATTCTACCAGATAAACTTTACAAAAGCATTTACTGTCTTTTGCAAACTTTTATTTAATTTCACATAGACATTATTTTTTTAGAGAAAAATAAGAGAGTATTGGTTTCAACTTTGTGGGTCACACTGAATATCTACAATGGCATTCTGCCTGAGTTTATGAAGTGAAAATTTTATTCTGTATCCAATTTTAAGGTCATTGAGGATTGTTTGCAACTGTGTTTTCCTTCTAAATATGCATGCAGTACAATGAGGAACTTTTAAGGTATCCTTTGTTGCAATTTTACTTGAGACAGAGATTCATCAATTTTTTTTCTGGCAGAATCATTTTTATATTTACTTGTGTACAAACAATGGTAATTTTTGATGATATTATTGGTTACACTCCATCTTGAAACTGGCTTTGTATGTTGTGTTTAAGTCCGTAGGTTTAACCGACTCGGTTCTCTATCAAAAAGATTGAGAGTTTGAGATATTTAAGTACTCTACCAAAGGAAACGAGTCCCAAAGTAAGTTACGAAAATAACGGTGGTAAAAGTTAGTTCAGCACCAGTAGGTAGGTGGCTTTCTCAAGAATGGTTGCCCTTATATCCAAATTTTAACCTCTGTATTTTTCACTGTTTTCAATTGTAATACATCAGTACAGTGCTGTATTTGGTTAAAATAATATTTAATTACAATTCTGTTATAGGATTTCATGCAGAAGACCTTCCAGGTAGTGTAGCATTCAAGTTAAATGATAATTCATAAGGACCTGTAATATGTGCCCTGGGCAGGGACATCATCAAACAGCCAATTAAAAACCTCAACATCTTCATTGTGTGAATGTGTTTGATCCCAATATTATTTAATCTATCATGCCAGAACTATTTTCATCATCAAAAATTGTATTTGTATTTATTTAAAAAAATGTTAGGGGAGAGTCGGTCTCTGGGTACGTTTACGACGTAAACCAAATGTCTTAGAAAAACAAGTACTAAGGTTCAAGTATGACACTTATTTTAACATTGAATGCACGTCTCAAGGTCTCAAGTTCGGTAGGTAGAAAGTGGACTTTCTCAGCAGCAGAGTCATTCATTGGTGCTGCTGGCTGGTCAGCAACACAAGGTATGCCAATTGGGTCCCCAAACTCAGGTTGGAAGCTAGGTGTGAGACAGGGTACCTTCTGTGTGGTACCAAACAGTTACCATGGGTGACCACCGAACAAACGTGGACTGTGACGTGTTCAAAGGAATCGGAGACGTCGTTTGATTCGGTATCGTTAAAAATTAAATGTCAGAGGATGGATGATGAAAGGAATGTAATGAATGCTTACTGATAGGCAGCAGACTGCTAAAGACAGCTTCCATATGATTTTGAACCTTGCACAGAAAAAAAAAATTTATAGAGAAATTATCATTTCATGGTACTTTTTTGTGTGAAAAAGTGTGATACAAATATAATGGGTTCATTTTTTATTTAAAAAAAAAAGCTGGATTTTAAGAATTATGAGAATTGCCTTCAACTTAGGAAAAAATAATCAAAGAAATTTGTGGTTTTTGAAAGACTATACACACAGACTTGAAAACATGCCATTCAAACTAGTACTGTATGTGCTGGGAAGGTACATATTTAGTTCCCCTTGGAATACTGTAGGAAGAATGTTTTTTTTGCATTGGTTTTACTTTCAAGATGAATGTTTGTTATTTGTTTCACTCATATCTCTCAGATATGTTTTCATGCTTCAAGTATAAATATTCAATTCACTTACATGTTTGCTAGGCTTCCCTTTTCCCAACTGCTGGAATTCTCAGAGGAGCCACTATAGAAAAATGCTTCACTATCTCATGAATTTTGGTGCATGACACAACACATTTTTCATGTTTTAATCAAACACCCACCTTAAGTCTGGCTCCACTTCCTTAAGCCTGAAAATTTTTTGAAGGTCATCCATCCTCTTGAGATTATTTCCTCCCATTTTCAGATTGCAATGCTTTTCAAATTGATAATCTCATTCAAAAGTTGATCTCCATTCCTCCTATCAACTACTATGTTGCTCTCTGTTGTTATCATTCACTTGAGCCATGGATTAAATAGAAGCAGTACCTTTCCTTAGAGGAAATTATCTAATAAATTGTCAGGTCAGTTAGATAGCATTGGAAGTGTATTCATATATCTGCATCATGTGCATATGTGTGTATGATGGAGGATTTATTTTAAAGAGCATTCAACCATTGCATAAGAATGGTGAATCATTTTTCTTCATAGTATCCCAAAGATACTGATAAGCCTTGCCATAGCAACAGGAATCAAAAAGATTGTGAAGCTCTTCAAATTTTCTCAATGGATCTTTCAGATAAGAGGTGGGAGATTTTTGTGAATGAAATATATAGTGAGAGATGAGCATCACATGACTGGTCTCAAAGATGTTCAAAGCATTCAAAGTAACTTGAATTCAGAGAGTTCTAAATTTTGGACAAGAATGTATATGTTGGACTGTCACTCAATTATTGAAACAGCAGAAGTGATCAAGTAGACTGACATGATGAGCTGAAAACAGCCTTTTTGATACTGATTTAATCTCACATGAGTATAAATTAAGTTTTCAGATTGCATCAACCCTGTGGCACTTGTCTGTAATATATAGACAATATAATGTAGATTTTAAAAATTTAATCAGCCTAATCATAATCATCAGGTTTCCTATAATCAGACTGACATGAACTAGTTAATATAAATGTGGGGAAAAGCAATATTTCAATGCAATTATATCCTCATGTTCCAGATTATCAATTGTCCAAAATCTTGATAATCTAAGCTGACATCAATGCATGTTGAACAAAAAGTCATTGATTCTCAGAGCAATTTTTTTCCTCCAATTTAGCAGCAGTATGCTATTATAAGTCTAAATTGATAAACCAGCAGCTAATTCAGGTTCCAAATCTCTTCTTCACTCCAAAATTTGCAATGAAAATATTTTGAAAGGAGAAACTTTTTTAAACAAATGTACAGTTATGTATTCAGTTGGCAACATCCTGAAAATAAATCTCCATATTTGCTGATGGATTTTATTTTTGGAGAGAAACAACTCACTGCTGTGAGCTTTTAATATATTCTCTCAAACAAATTCAGCATATTTGAGCAAAGAAGTAACTCAAAAAATTGCAAATTAGCAAAACATAGCACAAATATAAAAAAATTTGTGTTTGATCATTAGAAATAATGTGGAACAGTGTGAAAAGTAAGGAGAAACTGTCCAGTGCAATGACACCAAGAGACTCATTTTAGAGACTGCCTCCAGGAGAATTTCTTTTGTCTTACTAGGTGTCGCTGTGTGTCTTCCAGCCAGAAAACACGTTTCTCTGTCCCATTATTCTGAACCACACCGGACCTTGAGGGTTTCATCATCATGATCATCATCCCCAACTGTAAGCCAGTACCAAGATCACGCGATACACGCCATGACCTTCTGGCCATTTCAAGGAGGCCATCATTACATCGCATGTTATTTTTTCCTCCTCTTTCTCTCTGTCTCTCACTTTCTCAGCAGAGAGAATATATTTGCTCAAAAGAAAATGTTAGTTCCTGTTGAGACACGTGGTGTCTTTTCTGCATGCAGCAGGAAACTTGTTGCGGCTGGTCAGGTGACCCAAACCGGGCCACATCAGTTTTGCCTGTGGAATATAATATATTATAGAGGCATTGGGTATAATAGACCCCAAGACATTTCTTTGGGGTTGGCCTTTATTTATTCAAGGTGTTCCTGTGTTGGGGATTTAAAAATAATGCCTACTCTTGCATGGAACTTGAACTTTCTCTTCCATTGTTTGTTTTCTATATATACAGACAAGACTTTCAGGAGGGTTTATATATTGTATAATAGAGTGACACGAAATATATGGATTCATTCAATTAAAGCTTTGGGGTTCTTCAATCACAACCATACAGGTGAGCTCTTGATGGGGTTTAAATGCCCCATTGATGCTGTTTTGTCACTCTACTATCACCATAAATATTTGACGTATACAACTACATACACGTATTCGTTAAGTTCCCAACCATATTATTATTCTCTTCTCTGTGGTACACATATCTAAAACTACACAGGTTTTAATGACAAAAAACAAGATCATAGTACACAAAGACCTGATCACTCCTGGGTTGATCTTGAATGAATATTATTTTGGACATACTATAGATGAGCTAAGGCATAAATGTTTGATTTGTTTATTTTTTAGAAGAGAGTATAGTGTATGTAGAAAAAAATCTGATATTACTGTATTATAAAAAACAGATTCTGGCTCAGTTTACTTTTGAAATGTTCCTGGTGTTTTTTTAATGTCTTGTATTGGTCTTGGATTCTGGGCAGTATCTTATGTAAGTATGTTTCAATGAGGAGAGTTTATATGAGGGTGTTATCTAGCCTCCAAGGCACTTTCAAGCACATAAATCACATGTGTTTATGGTTCATTGAATTCCTCTTACATAATGCCATATAACACACACACTCTCTCTCTCTCTTTCTCTTTCTATAGAAAAAATTGTGTGGACCAGAAAAATTAGTTGCAGAGAAACCCCTTTTAATTGGGGTGGATGCATATAGAATTCCCTATGGGATCACAAAAATCTCTGTATGGAGAAAATGGTTTTAGTCAGGATTGTTGTTGTGAGAGTTTTCATCCCCTGTACTGTAACAGTAATGTGTGTTGTGCTGGAGAGCAACTCATGTGAGCAGTTGGGATGATTTTTGCAGTCTAACTGTAAATGAAAATATATAGTATGAGTTACTGAAGTATTCCTGCTTTTCTCCATAGATTCAAAAACAAATTAGGAATATAAGAGATTCAGTAAAATTGAAATCTACTCAAATATTTCTGTACCACAAGTTTGAATATTTTAGGTTACCATTCAATCCCTCTTTTCCATCACTTGCAAATATTTTCTGGTCCTTTTGTAAAAGAAATGACTGTTGATAATTTTCAAGGAGCCAATTATGGCAAGAAATCCAGGCATCCTCATACCATTTTTGTAATTTAAGGACTGCTGACAGAAAAAAAAGACAATGCTGTAGTTTTACCATTTTTGTTTGATTTAAAGTTTGTACAACTAAGAAAATAATCTGATTAGATCACAGGCTCACTGCTTTTATTCTTCAACAACCAAGTTAAAGAACTGTAATACTGTATTGAAAGTTTGGGCTTATATTTCCTCCAGTGCTGCTAATAATATCCAGAATTGATTGAGCTCAAGTGTTCCAAGATCTTGTTCATCCATGCATAGGAAATAATATCAGGACTTGCTTCAACCCTCAACAACATCCATTCATGGTGAAACCCAAGCAACTGTGTCTAATCACTGGAGCAAGGGAACAGGAAATGCCTTGTCTGAAAATAAAATTATGCTTTTCTATGCTTCAGCAAGAGAAACGCCACCTGTTGCACCAGCTGTTCCTTTCCTGCAAAGGAAAAGATAAAACTGAAAAACAACAAGGAATACCAGAGTATGTCCCATTTTGTGGAGAGCCCAATGATTGACAGGTGATCTTAATTTCTAGATTTTATGTTTTCCATGTCATTAAAAATTAATATGCATGAAGAGACAGTGATGTAAAATATATCAGCCAGCTCTCATGCATCACTTGCAATGCAAATCTTTTAAAGGGGAATTCACATAATATTTTGAAACAGTGAAATGAACTGATGCCTGTTGTTAATATTAATAGTGAAACCCCCGCATGTGGACACCTCAACCTGCGGTCAATTCAACATAGGGACACTTCTTTTATCATAAAAAATTAATTAAAAAGGCCCACAATGAGGACATTGACTCGACTTAGGGACATTTTGTTATAAAATTGGAAATACATTTCAGGCCAAATTACAAGAAACAGATATTTCTAACCCTAAAATTGATGTAATTTCTTGGGCATTTCTATCACCAATTTACCATCCATTTAGCTAATTTTAAAAAATTACTTCCAGCATAGTGGGACTTCCTTCACTCTTTTCCATCTGAATGTTATTTTTTACAGAGAATGCCAACATTTATATGTACAGTACTGTACTGTACAGAGGTATCAATATTCAATTCCCTAAATGCCCATATTGTGTTGAAATAATATTGTTTGGAATCAGTTTAAATTGGGATAAAAATTTTATTTGCATGGAATTATGGTGAGTATTTTGTAGATGAAACACCAATTAAAAATTGCATAATGTAGGTCTAAGGGAAAATGAGACTCAACTTAGGGACACTCTTGATGCACCAATTACGTCCGCATCTCGGGGTCTCACTGTACATTCAACACATATTCTCATGATTGACCAGAAAAAAGCAGTCTTTACTAAACAATGATTCTTTCAAAATAACTTTGATTTTTGCATGATGCATTTTTGAAAATGTTGTAAATTAATGTTTGACCACTCCTAAATGCTTATCATCAATGATAAGGCAATCTGTAAAACTTCATCTGAGCTACTTGAGTGATGATTGCAGAAATTGATATCTGACACATGCTGACTTTAAAGTCTATGGTGTTTGATAAGACTGCAAGGAATGTTCATATAAAATCAAGTATCCTAAATTATCTGATTGATCAAATGTGGTTCAATGCTCTGACAATTTCTGGACTAAGGGAATATGTAACGTTTTTTAAATGAATGAATGGCTTATATTGAAATCATCATAAACAATTGACTGATTGTTATCCATGAACATTTATTTCTTCCATAAACAGTATCTTTATATATAATGGTGTAGGGAAGGTCAGGAAGAAGAATTATTGAATAGCAATTATTTTTAAATTATTTTTAGAATTATTTTAGAATTATTTATAGAATTATTTTTTAAATTTGGAAATGTGAATTTTCAGAAGCCATGTTAAATTGAAAAAAATATAAAAATACCTAATATTGAATGAACAAGTAATATTTTCATGAGCTCAAATTCAATTCTAACAAGTAAACTTTTGGCACACTGTATCAGTCTGGATCTGTGAATATTGTACTGAGTAAGTTCAGCTGCAACTGTGTGTCCAAGGTCCAACTGCATAAGAGCTATATGTCCATGTCTAATTCAATTCTAACAAGTAAACTTTTGGCACACTGTATCAGTCTGGATCTGTGAATATTGTACTGAGTAAGTTCAGCTGCAACTGTGTGTCCAAGGTCCAACTGCATAAGAGCTATATGTCCATGTCGAGCCTGAGGTACTGTGTGCATAGTATGATTGAGTCCACATACAGTATATGAGAGCAAAAGTTTCTTGATATTCTCTTCCTTCCCTCAATATCTGAGTCTTTACCTTTTCTTCAAACTTGCATGATTAATTACAGCACATTCAATGGTTTCCTGCATTTTTTTTAATTCAGCTTTGCAAGTACTGTAGAAGCAAAGCTCTGAAGGGCATCCAAAAGGACAAAATAAAGCCAAACATTGTTTAGGTATTATAATTGTTTTTTAGAACAGCTTGAATTTCAAGGTCCTTGCAATATGCAGCCAAATTGTTATTTTAATCTCAGTATAAAAAAAATTATTTTCCGCAAAAAAGTTCTTTTTCCAGTTCCCATTAGCTTTGTTGTGACTTGATCCTACAGGTGGACTCTCTACAACACTATTCTCTGCACTGTATAACTTTTTTTTCAGTCTCATATGATTTTCTCCCCAAATGACAAGAGTTCTCTTCAACAAAANTATTGAATGAACAAGTAATATTTTCATGAGCTCAAATTCAATTCTAACAAGTAAACTTTTGGCACACTGTATCAGTCTGGATCTGTGAATATTGTACTGAGTAAGTTCAGCTGCAACTGTGTGTCCAAGGTCCAACTGCATAAGAGCTATATGTCCATGTCGAGCCTGAGGTACTGTGTGCATAGTATGATTGAGTCCACATACAGTATATGAGAGCAAAAGTTTCTTGATATTCTCTTCCTTCCCTCAATATCTGAGTCTTTACCTTTTCTTCAAACTTGCATGATTAATTACAGCACATTCAATGGTTTCCTGCATTTTTTTTAATTCAGCTTTGCAAGTACTGTAGAAGCAAAGCTCTGAAGGGCATCCAAAAGGACAAAATAAAGCCAAACATTGTTTAGGTATTATAATTGTTTTTTAGAACAGCTTGAATTTCAAGGTCCTTGCAATATGCAGCCAAATTGTTATTTTAATCTCAGTATAAAAAAAATTATTTTCCGCAAAAAAGTTCTTTTTCCAGTTCCCATTAGCTTTGTTGTGACTTGATCCTACAGGTGGACTCTCTACAACACTATTCTCTGCACTGTATAACTTTTTTTTCAGTCTCATATGATTTTCTCCCCAAATGACAAGAGTTCTCTTCAACAAAATTATCTCTGCAATGAATTTTTTCTGGTCCCTTGAATTTTGTGGTAGAGAGTTCACTCAAGTGGAACT